GCTTCACCCCTCCATCTTCAAGAACAGGGAATGACTCTACGCCTGCCCAGACACCTGCCATACAAGCACCGCTTGACCAAACCTCCGTGCTGAGGTCTCACTCCTAATCCACTACAATACTTCCTCCAACAATCCCTCTTGGCTACCTTTATTGTTCTACGTGCAACAGCCCTCAACTTTTTATATTCTATAGAGTTCTGTTCTGACGGAAACTTCTTAAATTGCTTATACGCCTTCTTCCTCTGCCCTAATAGCATATGTACATGCCTTATTCCACCAGGGCACACTTACCCTATTCCTCCCTCCAGCCTTACAGGGTATACACTGACCCATATTATGCGCAATTTCGCTACACAAACTGTCATTCCACTCCTCCAAGAGTCAATCATTTACCTTATCTAAATCCTATTACACCCCTGAGCAAACTCAGTCCACTTAGCTCGACTAAAATCTAATAGCTTTTGGCCTGACCACCGCATCTGTGACTAAAGACCTACCAAATCTCACTAATATAGGAAAGTGATCACTCCCTAATGAACACACTATCCAGACAGTCCCATTCCCCTAAAGCAGCCAACTCACTCGAGGCCAGGGCCACGTCTATACATGAAACCCCTCCCGTTCTCACATCAAACCTTGTGGGCCCTGCCATCATTCATACAAATTAGTCCATTCCTCATCATAAAATCCCTCAACCTCCTCCCCATTTATGGTCACGAGACCAGCTGCCCCACAACGGGTTATGGGCATTACAATCACCTACCCACACCAACGGTGTTCCTACCCCCTGCAAATACTTCACCTAAAGTTGTCAGAATTAAGGTGCAAACATGGATTATAAAAATTCACAACATTTAATTTTCCCCTGTGTACCCCAAACCCTCACTGCCATACACTCCAACCGATGTGTTAAGTGATAGTCTCTGATATTGCACATTCTCCCGAATAAAGATTACCACACCCCCCTCCAGCTTTATCAGCACGATCAAGCCGCTCACTCACATACCCAGGCACCACAAAATCCAGGCAAGGTTTTAACCATGACTCCTGAACGCAAATTAATTCTGGTTTGTGAATAAAATCTTCTAAGTACCTTTTAAGTTCCTGTGCCATTTGCATTGAGGCTTCGCGCATTCCATTGCAATACGTAAAACATTTAACCTACTGAAGAGCTTTCTCCACTCTGACTGGCCCCTCCTCCTTGTGATCCTCGACGTGCGTGCGCAAGATTCAAATGCTCTGGGGACACTTCCGTACCCAAAAACCTACCTGCTCTTTTGCAATCATTGCCTTTATACCAGATGGCGTGTCCACCTGTCTTGCTGCCCATAAGACTTCCACTAAAAAGGCAAAGAACGCCACCTTACGCACCACAAAACAATCATCCGAGACTTGACCACCTGACTGGTTTAAGCTTTCACTTTGAGCCTTCTGCCCCTCCTGGCCTGTCTCTTTGACTCTCCTGACAGCCTCAGCATAGGAGATATTCTCAGTCTTTTTAATTGTCTCCACTTCTTGGGCTTTGACATGTACCCCACATCCCCTGTACGCCGCCACATGGTTGCCCCCACAATTACAGCACTTCACTTCACTGTTTGTGCACTCTGAATAATCTTGACCGCCACCGCACTTTCCACACCTTTTTTCCCCTCTACACACTGCAGCGACATGCCCAAATCTCTGACATTTATAGCAACGCAAAGGCGGACGCACATATGGTTTAACCTGAAATGCCATAAACCCAAGAGTAACTCTCTGCGGCATGACCTCTTCTCCAAACAAAATGAGCACAGCAGTGCTGTCCCACTCTTCTCCCTGTCTCCTGGTTTTGAACCTCTTTACTCCCAAAACTTCCCCCCCTTTCAGGTTTTTAAAAATGTCATCTTCTGAGACATCTGTGTCAATATAAACGACCCCTTTCGCTCCCTGGTCAGAAAGTAGATTTGACCCTGGCACCAAGCCTTGTACAGCCCGTTTATCCAGCTCCTTTATCAGGAGTGCCTTCTTCCTCTGGGCTTCGGTTTTACACAATAAGAACACATTCCCATTAGACAAGATTTTGGCATGCAAGATTTCTCCAATTTTGTCACGAATCTCTGAGGATAGCCTAAGAGGGTTGGGGACTTTTCCTCAATTCGTCTTTAAATTTAAGGATTATTTTAAAGCCTTCATCATCATGCTCAGCCCGCCTCACCATTTTGGCTACTTCTCTCTCAACGGCTCCCACTACTACCTGACCTGGTTCGTTTTCCCCCGTCTTTCCCTCCACCCCCCCGAACCACCCCCTTTAAGTCTTCCCATGCAGCAGGAGAGACACCACCAAGAAAAGTGCAGTACTTTAAAGATCTGCGACGTTTACTGTCCGAAGGACCTCGGTTGCAAGGAACTTACCTGTTGAAGCCAAAGGCATACCAAACGAAGAACCTTTAACTGATGCAGAAAAGTTACCGGAGGAACAATTACTTGAGGAAGAGTACTTGCCTGGAACTGAAACCTTACCTGAACAAGTCCATGTTCCTGAGGACCAACCTGTAAATCAACCTGTGGAAGGAGAAAATATGCCTGATGATGAAAGGCCTGATAATCCAGAGACTTTACCTCAATCTAGTGACCCACCAGACGATGACTTGTCCCATGATAGTGAGAATGTTGAGCCCCAGGTTACATTGAGGCGCTCAACCCGTGATCGTAGACAGCCCTGCCGGTTGCAGTATTCAGCTTTTGGCAATCCGGTAGTGTCAGTCGTACAGACTTTGTTCCAAGGTTTGGCCGACGCTTACACAGAAGTTTTAAATCTGACCTCTGCAGCAACTTCATAGATGCATATTGTTTATTCCCCCATGCAGCGGGACGTGCAGAAGATTCTAGGTTTGACTCCTGGCTAGCTTGCCACAATTTATGTAACCCCTATCCCATATATATATATATATATATATATATAGTGGAATGGTAGTAACAAAAGAGTCTGTAGGCTAGGACTGAAGATCTAGAGTTCGCTCTGGGAGGTGAGTCAGTAATCAATAAACAGTGGCTCTAGTTTGCAAGTTTGTGTATTATTACATATTTACATATTTACAGTCATGACATCTCAAATTCTCAAATACAACGCTGCGCAGAATTCTTCATTTCATTCGCTCACAAGTCCAAAGAAAAAACCCCAAACCCAACTCAACTTCCCAAAGTCCAAACAATAGCCAGGCTACTGTAAAAGTGTGTCCATTGAGCTCGTATTGCTCAAGAGTTTATATGAACCAGAGTGCATGGGGGTAAAGGGCCGATCTCCTACCGCATTGGTGGGGTACTTGCAGCAGTAGTTCTTGTCTGGGCTCAGCTTGCCATCAATAGTGATTCGATTCGACTCGATATCACAGCACAGAAAAGACCTGGCCAGTTCGAGGTGAACAATCCAGCCCGTCACTCACTCGGAACGGCTCGATCGCGTAAACTACTGCTGCAGCCCTAAACGCAGCCTCCCCCATGCCTCCCTGTACAAGCGACCCGCCATCTTTAAAACCCCAAGTCACATGACCCACGTGATCCCAAACTCCCTGGAGCCGGCGCCAGACCCAATGGAAATTTGGGACCATTTAGTTTTAATAATAATAATAATTTATAAAAATACATTATATTTGATATGTGATAATATTTATATTATAAATAAAAAAATATTTATATTATATTTAATGGGTTACACGTATAAAAGTGCTGAGTAGAGACGCCCGCTCTCCTCCAATCACAGAACGAGGCTGCGTCCTCTAGCCTCTACAGCAGCCGCGGCGGCAGGGATAGGCCTGGGTAGGCCGGTGCCTACCAGTTTTTTTCTTGGCCTACTCAAATTTGTTCTTCGCCTCTCAAGTCATTAGCCTTTTTTATTAAAAGTCATAATTTAAATATTGTTATTTTTATACACACATTATTGCTAATGCCTAAATGTTGCGTTCTAATGTTTTAAGAAAATATAACCCCCTGAGCATCATCACGTTCCTACGTTGCTTCAAATATAGTCCTGTTTATTGGCTGAACAATTTTGTCCAATATCATATCACACAGCGTGAAGCTCGTTCCCGAGAACAACCAGCTATTCCTCGTCTTAAAGATTGACAACGCTCTCAAAGCATTCACAACAGAGCAGCCTTTTTCATTTTAATTTTAAGACAGTTCAGCGTGAACATTGTGAGGTAGAGGAGCCAGAGGCCCGGGCCCGTAGGTCCCAGAGGAGGAGAGCGCGGTCAGGCCAGGCTCCCCTCGCACTGATGAGGTAAACTCTAGGCCTGTGTGAGACACACTGTGGGCCTCACTGTAGGCCTCACTGTGGGCCTCACTGTAGGCCTCACTGTGGGCCTCACTTTGGGCCTCACTGTGGGCCTCATGTATGAAACCTGCGTACGGCCAAATCAGGGTAAATGAGGCGTACGCAAAATATTACACTTTTCCGCATGTATCTATCTGGACGTGAGCGTACTGTACAATACGCAAAAAATAAACGCCAGGTCTGGAGGTGGTGTAAATCTATACGCTGAACTCAACCTTCGGCACAACACGCATGAAATTCAAGATATGTACAACAATAAACATATTCCCTCTGGCAAAATTATATGCTGTGTTTTCATTGAGGATCATGTTTCAAAATTTGAATTTGCGCATCAGAAAAAGTCTAATGGAAACACGCAAACTTCGAATAAATCACAGCTCATGAGGACCCTCTATTAAATCTGACTTGTGTGTGTATTATTTTGATCTGTATGTTTTTAAAATGTGAAGCGCTTTGTGATCCTGGACAGTCAAAGGCTCTATATAAATACACTTTACGCAACAGGGATGTGTGACCCAGCTATTGCTGTGGCAGGCTCTGCACTGCGTAATTACACACGGCTATTTGTATTCCTCATTCACATCTAAAGCAATGTGTTATTTCATTAGATTTGTGTAACCCTCACACAGACACACACCCCAATAACGCATCGATGGTATTGCTCACTCACAAATGTCTCACTGCCCTGTCCAGAGTGCACAGCGAGTGCCGTGAGAGGTCGGCCACATGTGCAGAAGTTTTGGCTCCAGAGTTTCCTTGTGAAATCTGGACCGCAAACGCTCTCTGAAGTGTACAGCGCCTCAATGCGCACTTCTACCCCGAGCCAGGCTGCGTCCAAGACGCTGCAGACGCTTCATTCATGAGAGCCACCGCTGCATAATATATATGAATTCATTCATTCATTCAATCAATCTATATTTATTCACTTCTACAATTCAATAAGGATTTTTCTAATGTATCAAAACATTTTTGCAATATTTATTATTACATAAACATGAACAAACAAACGTGCCTTTTGAGGCTTCCAAACAGTCTTTTAGGCCGGCTTCCTGCTGACCTGTCACGAAGACGTGGCGTGAAACACGCGATTGCTGCATAATTCTAGGCGTGACTAAATACGTTCGTATTCAGCCGATTTATCAACACCCGCAGCTGCGTACGCTCAGATCTGGGCGGATCTCACATGTTCATAAATCCGACGTTGGATTTTGCGTAAATGGAATATACACCCAAAATGTACATCTTTTTCTACGCAAGTTTCATAAATGAGCTTGTGTGTATGTGCGCGCGTGAGTGCGTGTGCGTGCGTGTGTGCGTTTGAACCATATTCTTTGAAACCCCAATTCCAGCTAGCCCTTGTAGTTTTCAAGCGAATTTGGCCTACTTACTAATCTGCAGGCCTACCCAAAATTGCAAACCTGGCGCCGCTACTGCTCTACAGCGCTGCTAAACACAGCAGCATGTTAGCATAAGTGGCTATAACTCCTCTTGCTATAATTTCAGACACAGCAAAACAGTCCAAACGACACAACAGTGAGGAAGAGAAGAGGGAACTAAAGCCAAAACATTATCAAAGAAGAAATCAAGCCCGGGTGAACGTAGCTAGCTTACATCGTATCCTCTGGAGAGACCTGCGGGACCGCCATGGACTACATTTGGACGCGAAACTAGCGGTAATCTTTCAGTTATATATTTTGTTAGCAGTGCGTTGCTTTTGTACCATTTCATCAGTGATTGTTGTGCAGCTCATGCTAATGTTAGCATATGTATCAGATCGCAAATAAAACTGGCTCCGTGGGATGAGAGCGTAGCGGAAATGAGAAGCCTGTGAGCGAGTTGAGGGCGGGGCTAAACATTAAAACCTCACAGAAACGGGTATAGCTCCTTTAAATGACCCTTATCTGTCAAAAGGCATCAATAAACTATGCTCTTTTACAATACTTCTTTAACTGAAAACAGTAGTTCAGAGATATTTACATTTCAAAATTAGATTTACAGCCCCTAAATCTTGTTATTGTTTTCATTTGGATGTCCCGCCCTCCACCGTTTATCAATCAGAACGGGTTGCCAGAACTCCCTGCGTCAAGCTAATCTTACTGGTAAAGTAACATGTAGCCTTAATAGAACTGGAAAAATTCTCAAATTATTAATGATAAAAAAGGGATAAAACGAGGACTTGTATCTTTGTGAAAAAGGTGTTATAAGGTTATAGATTTGTTGTTGACAGAACTCTTGCCTATTCAGCTGTTATGGTCCCGGCTGGATTTGTCTGCATATCTGGCAACCTATGTCAGGGAGAGTGGGAGAGGCTGCAGTACCACTTTTGGCCAGATTTTTACATATTGCTCCTTTAAAGGACAATTGTTGACCTAAAACTATATTAACATTAGCACTGTATACAGGAGATGATCCAGGACACCCCACATTCAACAACAACAATGGATTTGATCAACTTTTATTGACATTGATCATTCGCCCCTTATAGACCAATGGATCTATGTGTTTTCTATCATTGCATCTCTTGAGTTTTAACTTTTTGATTCTCTGATCTGTGTTGCTGAATCAACAGCTCGTGAAGTCCTCTGAGAAACTACTGTTGTGATGTAGGGCTATACAAAAAGGAATTGAATTGAAATTGAACCCCCAGAGCAGTGTAATTAATCAGCTCATGTACATTTTTGATCTTCATAACTTTGTGACTTTTTCTGTCTCTTTATTGAGTGAAGAAAATCCAGAGGGGGGGAACAAAACAACCAGTAAATCATGAGACAGACAACAGGAAGCAGAAATTACACAAACTCACATCAAATAAACAAGAAACTTTTCAAAATGAATAACCACAAACAAAAATGAAAGTCCTAGTCTCAACAATCAACAATATTTGAGACCTCTCTTTTGACCCAGATGCAACGCACACACACACGTACACGCACACACACACACACACACGTACACGCACACGTACATGCACGCACACACACGTACACGCACACACACACACACACACACACAACCATTCAGTTGCACCAACTAGTGAGATTCTGACTTGTTTGACACATAAAAACTGAGGTAGATCCAGAGTTCGA